CGCACACAATATATATATATATATATATATATCATCGGCATATATCCATATGGTTGATTCGCGATGCACGTGGTCTCCTGTGGCCTGTGGTTTCCCGTGATTGTGACTTGCAGTGACTTGTGATACCTATATTTTCCAAATAAAATGTCGGCAGAAAACGAAAAAGACGTGAAGCTGTTTCAAACGATTGGTCTGAGTGAGCAAAAGGCCAAGGAAACTTTAAAAAATGCTAACATCACGAAGAATCTCAAATTAGCTATAAATGAGGTAAAGACTCGCCGGTGAATCGACAATCTCGTTATGATTGGATGTTAGAGCTTTCTGTTTCCAAAATTAATTATAATATTTATAATATCCGTTTCTACCAATGTAGTTTTTTGAAAAAATTCAATTAATTCTTCATCCTTTTTTAGTTCTAAAAATTATTTTAAAAAATGAAGTAAGCTGAATCGAGATTAAAGTTAATCTATACTGAGAAACGAAGATAAGAAATATAATTATGTATATATCATGTTGCAATTCACTAGATTGTTGCATCATTTTTTCTTTGATATATACATTTAATAATATATATTTTGTGTAATATTATATTTATAATTATTGAATTGTATCTTTTATTTATTTAGACTCAGCTGATCAATATAAAATTAATTGTAATCTCGGTTGAATTAACTATTTATCTTCTTCTAAGTTTATCTTCTTCCAAGAAATTAATTTTGTATTGATGAAAGATCTTATTGGCAAGATATTATTAGGATTTGTTTAATTAGGATTTATATTTTGTAAAATTAATATTTTTGTAAAGATAATTAAATATAGAGCTAGGTATTTCTCAAAATACTGAACTCTATTCTCAAAATTAAAGTATTTCTTCAAGGGAACCATACAAAATATTAAATTCTGATTTTAATGAAACTTTGTATACATATAGGTTACATAAAAGAATGAATTTAGAAAATATTAGTTGCGATGAAGAGAGAAAGATGATTTGAAGGGGTGAAATCATCCCTTATAAGGTAACGCAAGTTTTAGCTTCTTTTCATCGTATCTTAAAAACTATTCGAGATATCAAAAAATGTTTTATACAAAACTTTTATGATTTAATTACTTGTTCATCCACGTTAATAATATTTTTTTTAAATTTTTGTATTAAAAATTGTTTATTAAAAATATTGACATAAATGAATAGAGATAATGTTGTTATAAAGCTTTTGTATAAAACATTTTATATCTTGAATAGTTTCGAGAACAAACTGGAAACTGCTTTACTACATAAGAGGTGATTTCACTCTTCAAATCATTTTTCCATCACAACAGACATTTTTTAAATTCATCTTTTTATGTAACCTATATGTATATAAAATTTCATTAAAATCAGAATTTATCACTTCATATGATTCCCTTGTAAGATATGTATAATCAGTACGTTTTTGTGATTTATTAGAAATATTGCATCACTATTCTTTGTTTATACATAGCTTACAATTACATTGTACATTTCGCGTAATATGTTTAAATGATTTCGGCTTTTATTCATTTAATGGTAAGTGTATATCATTAAAATTGACTTCTATTTAGAATTTATATTTAATTCTTATAGGCAGCTAAACATGGAGCTATTACTCAAGATACTGGCGTATTGCTATACCATCTAACTTCCAAAATTAAAAATCAGATCATAGATAAAATTCCATTTATTACTAATTATATAGTCGAGAAGAAATTAGATAGTGTACAGAGGATTGATGCTGCACTGGCTCATCTATTGACTAATGTGAGTAATATTGATATAGCTAAGTTTGAGGAATCTTGTGGTATAGGAGTAGTAGTTTTACCTGAACAAATAGAAGAAGAAGTCGAGAATATTATAAAAGCACACAAAGATGCAATATTGGAAAAAAGGTAAATAAGATTTTATCTTGAGTATGCAAAATATAAAAACTTTACAATAAGTTATTTTATAGTAAGTAATTAATTACAATTTATTTGTTATTTGAATAGATATCGCTTTAATTCTGGTCCATTGATGCAACAAGTACGTAATATTTTGAAATGGGCAGATGGTAAAGCGATAAAGAATGAATTTGATGTCCAACTTCTTGATCTATTAGGTCCAAAAGTTGATGCTGATCTTGCATCAATATCTAAACAAGTGAAACCAAAGGACAAGCAGACGAAAGCGAAAAAGCTGGAAGATGCAAAGGAAGGTGAGCTATATATCACTTTTTAAAAATATTTTAGATATCTAAGTTCAACGATAGATTAATAAATTATGTTTATTAAGCTAAATGCCAATATGAGCACAATTATGTGAGACATACGAAGGATTTAATTTTTAATTTTCAGAACAGGAGTCACTGAATAGTGAGAAGGGAGGCGGCCAAACTATAAGCGAACTCATGAAGACTAAAATTCAATTTCATAAACCTGGAGAAAATTATAAAACCGATGGATATATTCTAACACCAAATACACATTATCTGCTGCAAAAACATTTGAAAGCAACTGATGGCAAAGTGATAACGAGATTCCCACCAGAACCCAATGGAATTTTGCATATTGGACATGCAAAAGCTATCAATATCAATTTCGGGTATGTATATTCTTTGATTTTAAAAATAAAATATATAGTAAAAAAGATGACTCTTATAGATATGCTGCTGCTTACGATGGCATATGCTATTTACGATATGACGATACAAATCCTGAAAAAGAAGAGGAGAAATTTTTTGTCGGTATACGGGAAATGGTGGAATGGCTCGGTTATAAACCAGCTGCGATTACACATTCATCGGATTACTTCCAGCAACTGCATGACTGGGCCATAGAGCTTATAAAGAAAGACTTAGCTTACGTTTGTCATCAATCCAGTGAAGAAATGAAAGGTTTCAATCCTCCACCGAGTCCTTGGCGCGATAGACCAGTCGAGGAGAGCTTACAACTATTTAATGTAATGAAAAATTTTTCTGAACATATTGTTCCCTTCAATTTTTTTGTTACTATATATGCATTTGTCTATTTTATTTGTTAAAAAAGTAGGATATGAAGGATGGTTTGTTGGAAGAAGGAGAAGCGACCTTACGTATGAAAGTGATTTTAGAGGAAGGTAAACAAGATCCTGTGGCATACAGAATAAAATATTCGCCACATCATCGAACTGGTGACAAATGGTGCATCTATCCTACATACGATTACACCCATTGTTTGTGCGATAGCATCGAAAATATCACTCATTCTCTCTGTACAAAGGAATTCCAATCACGGAGATCATCTTATTATTGGCTTTGCAATTCCTTGAACATTTATTGTCCTGTACAATGGGAATATGGCCGATTGAACGTCAATTATACTGTAGTTTCCAAAAGGAAAATTGCCAAATTAATACAAGAAGGAATAGTGTCTGATTGGGATGATCCCAGGTATAATGTAATATTACTTTTATGAGATTATCTAATGTCTTACTAATCTTTCATCATTCTTTTTTTTTTTTATAGATTATTTACGTTGACTGCGCTACGTAGACGTGGATTTCCACCCGAAGCTATAAACAATTTTTGCGCTCAAATGGGTGTAACTGGTGCACAAGCAACTGTTGATCCTGCAGCATTGGAAGCAGCTGTTAGGGATGTTCTGAATCTTACTACTCCCCGACATATGGTAGTTCTAGAGTCTATCAAATTGACTATTAAAAATTTTCCTCAAGAAAAAGCTATAAAGCTCACTGCACCCAATTTTCCTAACGAGCCAGAGAGAGGACATCATGAAATTACATTTGATGAAATTGTATATATTGAAGCCACGGATTTCAAAGAAGTAATGTATATGTCTATCTCTTTCTAAATATTTCGCAGTTATTTATCAATATTTTATTTATTAATACTTTTTTATTTATCAATATTTACAGATTGAAGAGAAAGGTTTTAGGCGCTTGACACCAAAACAATCTGTAGGTTTAAAGCATACAGGTACCATAATAACGTTTGAAAGTATGGAGAAGGATGCCAGTGGTAATATTACGAATATAATTGTTAGACAAGATCCTGTCTCAGAAAAGAATAAACCGAAAGCATTTATACATTGGGTGTCCGATCCAGTATTGACATCTATTAGATTATACGAGCGTTTGTAAGTAATATTTTTTCCAAATTATTAATTAATGTGAAAGTTTCTTTATTCTGTAATGTGATTGAAATATCTTTAATTCTCGCTCCTCTCCTTTCCCCTCCTCAGATTTAAGCACAAAAATCCGGAAGATGTACATGAGGTGCCGCATGGATTTTTGAGTGATATTAATCCATCCAGCAAAAAAGAAATTGTAGCGTACATGGACAACAGTCTAGCTGAAACAGCAAAAGTGTATGACAAGTTTCAATTTGAACGTATAGGCTTTTTCTCTGTTGATCCTGATACCAAACTTAAGAAGGTAAGCATAAAAGCATTAGTACACATATATATTACATTAACATTCTCTTTTATTTCAGCTTGTTTTTAATCGTATTGTAACATTGAAAGAAGATACAGGAAAGGTGTAAATATATATTTCAATACTATCATAAAAAATATCTGTACTACTATTTTTACTACTGTTAAGATCTGACTTTTGTAAAAGCATAAAGTGTAAGAAAATCAATCAATCGGAGTCTTTTATTTTATCATGGAAAGAACGGAAATAAAGGACTTGATTGATTCATTTTCTTATGCATTATATGTTATGCGTTATGCAAGACTCTGTCCTCTCGTTCTGATACGCTTTTTTTTATATTGAGACAAAATGCGTGCTGTCTAACGGAAAAAGCGGATCCATATATAAGATCTATGATTATATATGTAATATATTATTTTCAAAATTTTTATAATATATCATGTGTCGATACATCTTTTTTACTATATTATATTTTTATGTCATGTATAACTTGCTACATTAAATTTTGCTAGTATTTTGATTTTGTGATAGTTACATTTTCATAAAGAATAAAGAATAAATCTATTAAAAGGGTTACAGTGTAATTTTCTGCCTCTATTAATTCATCAAACAAGATTCGTAGGTGGGAACCATGTATTTAATATTTATGAAAGCATCTTCGCCACCATATCTTTCTAAGATTTCAAGTGTCTCCTCTATAATGTCAGCAGCGTTCTCTCCTCTTTGCTGAGAATAATCGATACCTTCACCAAGGTTTACTGAAATTATATTTTAATATATTTTATTTCCAATTGTATACGAATATAGGAAATCTTAAAATATGAGTAAATTACCATTTCTGTCTTTAAGTAAATTTGGAATAGGCAAGATTTGCCTAAAATATGGAACTAAAGCTTCACCAACGCAATCGGCTGATCGCACTAAACGTTGAAGTGTTTTCATCGTGGTGCAAATTATCTCGGGCATTCTTGTATTTAAAGCGTCTAACAAATTTTTTTTAATTACAGTATATTTTTTCTACGTTAAATTGGATTGTAGAACTTACTTTTAATAGGAATAATCAATTGAGGAACAACGGGCAATATCTTTGGTCCACCATGTTCTAACATATCTGATATTCCTTGCTCTGCCAGAAATTTGTATGGTTGTTCCGTTTCCGTTAATCCATCGAAAAACATTGGCAAATAATGATGGAAATCTAAATCTTCTATGTCCACTTTCCAATTAATTTTCTGATCGTAACCGTTGTTCTCCAAAGAGATAGGGAGTAAACCACGCTTGTAAAATTTCCTGAAAGTCGATGGTTTCGGTAGACGAGGTTTATATAGTCTACATCGCGGCGGTTTCGCGACGATCGTGTTTTCCTGTGATCAAAAATTGACTTATTACATGTACGGTATTACTGTGCACTATATTTATCTCGATCATAGTGAAAATTCCATCCTATATTTCAATATCATCATTTTCTTAGATCCAATTATAACTTGATCGGCAGAATCACTTAAATTACTTAAAATAATATCTCTAATATACAATTCGTTGTTCTTAATATTTTTTCGATATATTAAATATAATTCTATTAATTGGATAATTTTATTCGTATTTTTTAATAAAATAGATCAAGTTAATCGGAGTTGATGGAAATGTCTCTTAACAACGTTATTACCTGCAATGCCTGAATAGTGAAGGCAGGTACTACTCGTGGCTTTCTCTTTTTGTATCGCGGTATATCTTTCCGAACTTCTGTCCAAAATTCTTTTTCATTCACCATCCCGATGCCCGATATCTTTTTTTCAATCCTAAGTTCAAATTATACATTGAACATTTTGTTCAAATATTGTACATATGAAATTATATGCGAAGATGTAGGTAGGATTATAGGAAACGGATTTAGATCAAACAATATTGTCTCCTAGCAACAAAATTTCTATTGACATCTATTTCATGATATAAGATATGATGCAAGTAGACACATATCTACTTGCATCATGGATATAAAAAAACATGACATCTATTCCATGATCTATTCAAAATATTCATATCGTAGATACAAAGTCACTTTATAAAAGTACATAATATCCTTATATATGTTTATACAAAAATCAAATATAAATTAAATATTTTATGCATAAGTGACATGATCATAAGAATTAATAATAAAATGAAAGAATATCTTTTTTTTATCAAAGTGAATTATTTCTTTTTGTCAGTAAATGTAAAATATTAATATTAGATTTGCAATAATGGACGCGGTTGTATTCGTGGAAGTCGTTTTCTAGAATGCAATGGTTTGTGAAATTGTGGATCATCAAATAAAAGTTCCTTTTTGCATGGTTCATCTTTGTCTGCCGTATTTAATTATTAAGGAAAATAACTCTGCTATATGTGTGCACGTACGGATGTAGATGTGTGTATTCAGTTACGTGTGTCATCTATTTTTTTATGACAAATATAACAGTTAACGTTTCATATATAAAGTAATGAAAAGGATATTTGTGAAGCAGCTTGAATATTCCTGTGCCTAGTGGAACTGGAATACCCATTATAATTGATTCCGATACGCCGCTTATAACATCTTTTTGTCCATAATAAGCTGCATCAAATAAATGATCTGCAGTCTTCTCAAACTGTAAATAAATAATTGGTTTGCCAAAAGAATTTCCAATTCTTCTTAATACTCAAATTTAAAAATGAAGACAATAGGCTCAATTAATAAAGTAATATAAAAAATTAGGCAAATGAGAGTTCGGTGCAGTACTTAATGTACAATCATTAATTCTATGTATATATAAATTATATTTTTGACTTGCTGTATACTTGTATTACGAGCCAAAAACGGAACTCTCATTTGCTTAATTTCCTACATTATTTTAATTTCGAGAGTCCCCCCTCCCTTCTCTTAATCAGTATTTCTTATCAATTTAATAATTCTATTGGGTTGTCCGGAAAGTTCGAGCCGATTTTTAGTAGGTGGTGTAAAGACAGGTCTGAATATATCAGAACGATTGAAAACAAATGACATGCGTACATATCGTAAAAGACGGTACTTCAGGCATACTTGGAAAAAATTTGGTTGGGATACATTAATTTTTGTCAGTTTTATACGCCTTTGAATATGGAAGAAAACAAAGTGCATTTTAGGCATTTAATGCTTTTCTTTTACCGGAAAGGCAAAAATGTCACACAAGCGGCAAACAAGATATGCGCTGTTTATGGCGAAGATGCTGTAGCTGAAAGAACTGTGCGGAAATGGTTTGCTAGGTTTAAAGCTGATGACCTTGAAGATCAAGAACGCCTAGGCCTTCCATCACAGATGAAGATCAGATTAAAACACTGATCGAGAATAACCCACGCTATACGATACGTAAATTAGCAAAAATGTTGAATATGTCAAAATTCACCTTCCACGAGCATTTTGTGAAGCTGGCTACATTAACTGTTTTGATGTATGGATTCCCCATACATTCCCACGATTTAACGGAGAAAAATTTGATGGATCGCATTTCCATTTGCGACTTGCTCTATAAACGCAACGAGGAGACACCATTTTTGAAGCAAGTAGTAACGGGGGATCCATAAAAATGAATCATTTACAATAATGTTGAGCGAAAAAGATCTTGGGGAAAGCGGAATGAACTACCTTTAGCCACCCCAAAAGCCGGTCTTCATCCAAAGAAGGTCATGCTCTGTGTCTGGTGGGATTGGAAAGAGATCCTATTATGAGCTTTTACCAAACAACGAGACGATAAATTCAGAAAAGTATTGTTCCCAATTAGATGAATTGAAGACAGCAATTGAATAAAAACGTCCAGAAATCAGCGAATCAGAAGGGCGTCGTGTTTCATCAGGACAATGCGGCCTCACGTGTCTTTGACAACTTCAATCTTTGACAACTCGACAAAAGTTGTTGGAACTCGGTTGGGATATTCTACCCTATCCACCATATTCACCAGACCTCGCGCCCTCTGATTTCAACCTATTTCAATCATTACAAAATTCTCTTAATGGAAAAAGCTTCAACTCTTTGGTCGAGGTAAAAAATCACTTAGAAAAGTTTTCCGCTGAAAAACCTGGAAGAGAGATTCTGGAAGGACGGAATTTTCAAGTTGCCTAAAAGATGGAGAAAGGTTGTAGAACAGAATGGCACCTATATAATTTAATAAATGTATATTAAAATTTAAATCTTCTGCGTTTCAATTTTCCTTCAAAATCGGTACGAACTTTCCGGATAACCCAATATATTGTATTATAAAAAAAGCACGTAAAAGAATGAAACAATGAAAAATGGAATATCTCACCGATGCCAAGTTTAAAACCGATTCTTTCATTTTTGCCAAACCTTGTCTCGTGATACCAAGTACTTCTCCTCTACTAGTCATTAAATCTGCCAAGAGCATTAAATGTCGACAATCAATACTGATACCGTGATTTTCCATTACCGACTTAATTTCTGACATGATAGTTGTTCTCGCTGCTTCTATTCCGAGTGTTTTGAAAACCTAAAATAAAACATGATTATAAATATGTTTTACTCACTATCTCATGATTTCTTTCAACTCACTTCTATTGTATTATTCGACTTTGTCTTCTCACCGAGGATGCCACGTGTTGCCATAACTTCTCTAAAATTATCACCTTCGACAAATAATGTAAATTTCGATTTATTACCAAGGTTTTCATTATGTACAACTACTCTATTGATCGATGGTAAACCCTACAAAAAAAAATAAATAAATAAAAGCGGACATTAAATTTCTAAAACTTATAAAAATTTACATTTTATAAAAATTATCTCATTACACATTTTTACCTTTATTATAACATTTGGAATGGCCTCTGTCAATTGACGAAATGGAAAATTTGAATCTTTATCTTTACTTCGATTTGGTCGAATAATAATAACTGAGTCGGTCACCTTTTCTACATTCTTTGAAGTTAATTTTAATTTTGAAGTGCAGAGTCTAGAAAATCATAAATTATTTGTTATCTTTCAAAAAGTATAATGGCAGCAAATTACTTAAATTTAAAGTATAATTAAAACTCGTGTTTTTTTTTTCATTGTACTATATTAAGTTTTGACATTGAATGAAAGAAATCAAGTGAAGTTTTGTTCTTGCGAGATACATATGTTGAAATAAATTAATAGTTGCAATGAAAAAACGAGAATCTTAAGCTTTCAAACATACTTACTTATAGCATACAGAATTAACATCAACTTCTAATTTCAACATTTTAATTCTATCGATATCTAATTTTATTATAAGGAAATGATCATCAGATAAATATATTTCCTCGATATATTCAGATACATCCCCCAGGGTCGTCTTCTCAATTCTTGCCTTCACTTGCTCGGCAAACTCGGAACTCGTATCATTGATCTGCAAAATAAAGAATTAGTTGGTTAAAACCGTATTTGATTAAATACGCAAGTGTCCAGAGTTAATTATTCACCAATGTCGCTGTTATGATAGGAGTACTGATCTTGGGACTCGCATTAATAATTTCTTTAATACGGGGAACTCCTTGAGTAATGTTCATAGCAGCTACACCAGCAAAATGGAATGTTTTGAGTGTCATCTGAGTCCCTGGCTCACCGATACTTTGAGCGGCGAGCGCACCTACAGCAGTGCCTGGTTCTATCTTAGCTCTCATGTACTTCTCTTTGCACGTGTGAATAAATTCTACTAATTGTGAGACGGTAAAACGTTCAAGTTGCGAAGTCACCGATGAATTCGATATAACGTTCTGCCGATAAAACGCTATTTTTCGCGCCACTTTCAATTTCAGAAACGAACTGCAAAAAACAACGATTAATTTGTTTAAAACTGCGCTACAGAAGTTCGCCATATATCATATATTTAGCATATTTTGTCTTACGTCAATTCATCTTTGAATTCCTCACTCAGGCACTCATACTCCTCAGAGCGTAGCATTTCCTTTGTGGCATTAATTACGCTAGCGTAATCTAAAGGCTCTTCGGTAATATAAGGCATTTTCGCCCTCACGTGCTCGTACACTCTTTCATAATCCACGGGACAGTCTTTACCTGTAGAAAAATATGTATTATTCTATTTACACAAAAATACACAATAATATATCACATACCCTCCATGTATGTAGGATCCAATCCATCACCGCCATATGTAGTCTGTATCATATCGCGCATAGAATTGCGTACTGTCATGTCGTAATGGATACACAAATCTTCTAAACTTTTAATTAATCGTCTCTGCATGTATCCAGTCTCCGCAGTTTTTACAGCAGTATCTGTGAGACCCTCTCGACCGCCCATCGCATGAAAATAGAATTCCTTGGACACTAATCCAGAATAAAATGAATTTTCCACAAATCCTTTAGCATCTGGCTTCTTTGAGCGTGTCAAGACATGAGGTAACGCACGATTCTCAAATCCATCTGGTACTCTACATCCATTGATAGCTTGTTGACCTACGCAAGCTGAAGAGAGAAGTTGTATTAAATAGTATCAGAATTAAGAATAATAATATATTTATTATTATTATTACTTGAACGTACCAATCATTTGAGAGATGTTGATGAAACTACCCTTACTTCCACAGAGTGCCATAGTTAGGGGAATGTTAGTAGGATGCAGTTCTCTCAAACACGCTTTACCAACGTCATCACGGATCACTGAAAGTTCGTTTAATATTCTCGTTTCCAGTGTTTCCTCTTCTGAACATCCAGGTTGACAGACAAGATGACCCTGTTCCATTAACTGAATGTATTCGTTACACGTAGAATAACTAAATAAACAAAAAAAAAATTGGAATTAGTTATTTATATGAGGCAGCCTCAAATTTAAACTTGGAATTATTCTTACTGAGTGTTTAATATTTTTTCCTTGGCTCGAAGAAGGCCTTGACTAGGTATAAGATCACCGATACCAAGAGAAATTCCTCTTTCAAAATTGAAATGATTCGTTATTCTGGTTAAACGCCACATAGCTGCGGTTGCAACATCTTCACCCCAATCACGCAGCAAAATGTAAAATATATTTTGTTTTGATCCTGAGCCTAATACAGATTTATCCATTGTTCCTGCTAGAAGCTCGGAATTACGAATAATAATATCTGTGGATTTAATTTGATTATTTAAGAACGTTTTGTCATTAAATGTTAACGACACGATTACAATGTACAACTTACAAGAGTCATTGATACAAAATTCTTTTCCATTGGTATATGTCTTGCCCTTTGCCTTTAGATTTGCTTTGACAGGACATTCCTTATTCGGTCGTATAATGAGACTAAATATTTGTTTGCCGGTCCACAATCTCGCCGGTTTTATGATTGCAGGCGGAGGAAGAGTTACTTTCGTAGAAGCATCCGAGCCAGCTAAAAGGCAAAGAGCTAATCTAACTTGTTCTAGCTGGAGAAATGTATCCTTTTGAGTTAAGAGATAAGCACCGGTGATAAAATCTTGAGTTGCTGCTATCAATAAGTCACCATTGCGAGGTGTAACTAGATTAGATTTATTCTATAAACACAAAACAAAATATTTCAGTATATTTATACGCAATTTAATAATTCTATAAAAGTATATTAATCAGTCATTTACCGCTAACAAAACTAATGCTTCGGCTCTGGCTTCTTCAGTTTGCGGTAAGTGAAGATTCATCTCGTCGCCGTCAAAATCTATTAATGTATATTAAATCAAATAAGGGTTAAATAAAACCGATGATAATCTTAATTTCTAATAACATTAATGTGTAATAAAAAAATTTTTTTTAACAGTTTTAGCTGTTTTTAATGTATTTTTTTTGAAAACTGAACATAAATTTGTTATTCAAATTTGATTATTACAATTTTGAGAAAAATGATATTAAAGAGACAAAAAAACACAATTTTTAAGGTTTTCATAAATGATAGTAAATAAAAAAGTAATATAAAATTGACAAAATAGAATGAACATTATAAGATGATATTCTGTGATATTCTGTTTTATCCAGAATTAATCTTGCTACTATTGTCAACCTTCATTGCTTTTTAATTTAGTATCAGGCAATCGTGTTATGTAAAAGCACTCTACATACAATAAAATATTAAGAATAAAATGTCTTTTCTATGTACATAGAAAAAGAGCTATTTTTAAATTGTTATATCTCAAAAATGGACAATCAAAATCAAACAAAATGTTTTAAAGTTAAAAATTGATACATTTGTATGGCATTAACAAAATTTAGAAAAAAAATTTACTACTGATGTTATAATGTCATAAAAATCCTTAAAAACATCATTTTCGGCAATTTTTCTAAAAAATATGATATACTATAAAATGTGATGGAGAAATTTGATAAATGGAATTGTTCTATTTAAAAATCGACGGAAAACAATTATGTTCGTTCGAACAATGTTCCTAAAATATCAATTTGCAGACTAATATAATATTTATATGTAAATTTTAAATATAATTGCAATAATTTATGTGCGCGCGTATGTATATGGGAAGGAGGGAGGGAGGGGGGAGAGGGAGAGAGAGAAAGAGAGAACATATTAAACATATCAACGTGTATAGACAATAAGTTGTCTAAACTGACCTGCATTGTAAGGTGCACAGACACATTCGTTGAATCTGAACGTTCGATGCTCTAATACCTTGGTTCTATGTGTCATAATACTTAATTTGTGCAAAGATGGTTGCCGATTGAACAGCACTAAGTCATCGTCTTTGAGATGCCTCTCAACAATGTCGCCATACTGCAAAAAAAAACAATGATATATTAAACAATGTTATATTAATTACATAAAAATCTTGATATTTTAAAATGATGTCAATATATATAAATTACCTGTAAATCTTGGGCGGCTTTATTCCGATCACCATATCCAAGATATCGCCTATTTTGCGAATTCTTATATTGTATGTAATTTGCTCCAGGATGTGTGTCTGGACCATTTCTTACTAATTTTCGCATTAATTCCATGTTTGATGGAATAACCCTTTCAGGATACGTTAAAGTCTTTGCAACATGTATAGGTACACCAACCTACGTAGATTCAATATTATTAGATACAAATCGCAGCAGGCTGACTTAAATTTCACTAGACTTACTTGTTCTATTCTGAGATTCGGATCAGGCGAAATGACTGTGCGAGAAGTAAAATCAACACGTTTACCAGACAAATTACCTCGGAAACGACCTTGTTTCCCTTTCAATCTTTGCACTATACCTCTACCAGACTTTTTAGGCTAAAAGTATCAATATGTAAATTATTAGAGAAAAGAATATACAGATCTTTAGATGTTTGTTGAGAAGAGCTTACTTGCATATGTAGAGGTATTCCGGACATTTCGCTATTAATGTAAAGACCACAATGCAGTTGAAGAAAATCCCAATGTTCCATGTACGTATTTATATTAACACCTTTTTGCCTGCGAATGACGTCATTGATAAGAGCTATTTCTGACAATTTCATTGTCAGATAATCTTCATTTGTACCAGCCTTTAGATCAGATAAAATACTAGGTCTAATACAAATTGGTGGCACAGGGATCCTTCTCAATACTAAATCTACTGGAGCTGCACATTCAGGATTCATTAACAAGAAGAAGATATCACCCGTTGGAATTCTATTGAAAAGTTCTTGCACCTTAAAGAATACTATAAATTATATACTATAAATTATACTATAAATTATATAAATTATAAGAAAAAAGAAAATTCAGAGATTAAATGTTTATAACATTATAATTTCTTT